TTCTGTTTACTCTTATTTTACAACAGTATAGGACCATTATAAGCCCACTTTTATCTAAAGCTTTGCTCTAGTCAATGGTGATCAAATCACTATTAATCACTCCCTAATTGGATGAATAAAGGCTTTCTCTATTCACTTAACATTTTAAACTTTCATAATGACAAGAATATCCCTCGTACCAGGGAAGGAGCCAGGTTCATTTGGGGATAGGGGATGACCCCCGGACCCCCACTTGCCTCCACCCATGCCTGATATTCATGTTCAAAGAGGGGGGAAAAATGCAATCAACACTCCAATTAACAAATTCAACATGATAGTCTAACCAGACCACATAAAAATAAGTATTCCTCCCAGTAAGATCTAATCATAATTCAGAGGTATCAAATTCCAGACTTGACTCCAGTAATAACAACCTGTTAAAAAATCTTGATCCAATGCTTATATCAGCCTGAGCCACAACACTATGACTATAACAATTTCATCATAGAAGATTAATGGATGTCATGATGCTTAACAAATAAAAATTGCCACCCCTTCCATATCTATATATGAAACTTTTCTTACCTAGATGATAGGTCTTTGTTGCTGGCAGGACTGACGATGCATGCTCCACAAGAGCAAGGCCAGCTCTTAGTATGGGAACAATCTGAGTAAAAAAAGAATCATGTCTCACTCGGTAGTCCAATATAAGAACTCCATACAATCAAAAAAATAGAAAGAGCAAATGAAATAATCATAAAGTTCACTTTCATAAGCAAATCAAAGAAAGCTATAAAACCAAATCAAAATTATTCAATACATGTAACAGAATACATACATGTAATGAATTTTACATATTCTGGAAAATCTAAACCATACTCTAGAAAATTAATAGAACACATATATGAACACAGAATCAATAGAACACATATTTTAACAATAGAAAAGAAAGGCTAGTAGACACCAACAACAAGAAAAAGAGAATACTATTGAACACTAACCGTCACAGGCTCCCTTGGATCAATAAATTCAACAGAAGCAACACCCATTGGCGACTGAATCTCTCCAGTGACAGTAGGCTGCCAGAAACCATACCAGATAATTGCAAGTGGAACTGTTAGTACATAAATGTGGAAGAGTGATGGGAATGAAAACATGTGTACAAGCTAAGCACATAAGTTTCTACTGCAATATGTATCAAATTTGATATACATTTTCAATGATCAAATCTTCATATAGAGTACATGTAACACTGTTAGAGTGAAAGCCAACACAGAACCATGTCTGCAATAGGCATTTACCACCAAAATTTGTCCATGTGCAGCTATACTTCAAATGGGGAATCAATTCAAGTAGCTCCAATTTTGCCACTATGTGCAATGTATCAAGAGGCACCTTGAGTAAATATTTCCATTTCTCTGAATTGTACTTTGGAGAAGGCACATAATAAGTGTAATGTGTACAGATTACAGAATTTGCAAAAGGGAAGATGTTGTTACTTTCTAGCATCCAGCGGCTCTATAGAGAACCTCTGTGTGTGTATGTGTGTGGCAGTCTTAAGGTTAAATTTCGGACTTTCTTCTGGAGATCTTTCTTCCTGTTCTGTCCCTGTTTTTCGGTTTTTCCTCTCCATATAAGCACTACAACCATAAATATTTTTCTACACACTAGAGTGACTAGACAATACTGTTTGGTTAAGCTTAGATAATATGGGTGTGAAATTAATGCATACATTTTGCATTATAACATGCATCTACACTATTGTGAACTACTATTTGATGCAAAAATTAACACAATACAGGAATTAACAGTACTCAATATGCAATAGTATGCATCAAATGCAAAAAAGACCTCACCAACCAATCTCTTGATGCTTCATATATAAGTAACCTCCCCAGCTCTCCCATAGCATTCTCTACAACAACAGAATCCACATTGAAACTAAGAACAACTCGTGCTCATATGTTGAATCAAAATCTAAAAGAAGAACAGAGGGATCATAAAAAATAGGTAAGTTCTTAGCATCAGTGTCACTTGTATAGACAGGTCTTACAGTATTTATATTCTCTATTTTCTTTTTGGGTCCGTTTTACAGTTATAAGAAGTGAAGTATGTATGATAAACAATAGATCCCAGCGTGTTCTCCGCAACAGCATAAGCCATCAAATAAGCAGTCCACAATTAAATGTTCTTGAACAGCCAAGTTCATAAAAGACAAAAAATAAGAGGTAAGATTTCGACTTTCATCCTTGAAATTATTAGTTCTTCACTGGAAATATTAGGTCCTACACACTAAAACGCTAGATATAAAATTAAGTAATTAATTAGTTATACTATAAATATACAATTAAGAAGAAATTTATAGCCCGAACTCAAAAGTTACATACTGAAAATGGGGCAAGGAGTCTGTTCATTTCTGAGGACTGAAATCCAGTGCTTTATCAACGGGTGCGGCGGAACAAAGACCTGTACATCCGATTAAAAGATGTAAAGGAAATAGAAAGAGAAAGAAGATTGATTTTACGTATCAGAAACAAATGATGTTTATGATCAAACCAGCATTCTATCGTCAGAAACCGGTCTCTTTTCCGTCGCCGTCTGAGATTTCACGACAAGAAGGGCACCTCTCCTTCTGTTAGAGCAAGAAACCTGTGGCGATGGCAACAGAAAGTTTTGCAAAAGCCCATAGAGAGATGGAGAAAAATTGGGGTCACTACATTTATAATTTATAAAGTAAAATAAAAAGGTATCGACAAGCACAGATATTTAGAACTTAATTAATAAGGAAAAAAAATGAGTTGCAGAGAAAGTTGTACTTCTACCTTTGGTGAATGGAAAGTGGAAGGAGAGTGAAGGAGAATGTTATTATTGTATACACATGCATTTTGGCGGGAATGCACCGCCGGAAAACATGGCGAATTAAGAGGAGTTCGTATCGGTGAGTTAATTCGGCACGCCATTCGACTGAGGAAAGATAGACTCTACATCGACATAGAGGAGGGAGGGAGAGAGAGAGAGAGAGTAATGGATTGTGCCGAACTCGTCTCAGGAATTTCTTTTTGGCTTGGATTTTGAGTTTCGGAGAGTATTCGCAATCGGTGTCGGATCAAGATCAAGCCGTTGGAAAGTTACCAAGAACCCTCTGATTGTTCATAAAATTACGAAAACGACCCTGAAGATATCTCGTTTGGTGTTAGACTCTAGGTCGACACGGCCCTGGATGGACCATTTTGTGGACCGGACCGGCAACAGAAATTACAAAATTGGACTACCGTGGTCGCGAGATTAGCCATAATACGCCTCCTTCGTGTCATCGGATGCAAACGGTGTAATTTTGTGTCCAGTGGTGTTTTGGAAGCCGAGTTCAGTTCAGGCTCACTGCTACAAGGTGAGATTGGGCTCATTCCGTCATTCGGGCTCGGTTGGATTGGGCTTGGCTCACTGCATCCAGTGTACGTACCAGAAGCTTAAATGTCAAAATAGAAAATACAAAAGGTACCGTCAATCAACATTCTTATCTATTTCTTCTTTTTTTTGTATTTATATCTTATCTATTTCTGATGTAACCGTTTTTGGTCACGTACCATTTTTTGGGATGTGTAAAATTTTTTGGCTAAGTACCTCGTGTTTGACCTGGTGGTGACTTGCCTTGGTGATGAGCTACTTGGTGGCGAACTTCCCGGTGGCGAACTGCCTGGTGATGCTTCCTGGTGGCGAACTGCCTAATGGCGAATTGCCCGGTGGCGAACTGCCTGATGGCGAACTGCCTGGTGGCGAACTGCCTGGTGACGAACTGCCTGATGGCGAATTGCCTGGTGGCGAACTGCCCGGCAGTGCTCCCTGGTGGCGAACTGCCTGATGGCGAACTGTCTGGTGACGAACTGCCTGATGGCAAACTACCTGGTGGCGAACTGCCTGATGGCGAACTGCCT